CTGGAGCACCCCACTCCCTCCTTTGAGAATGGGTGCTGGGGCGCCCCCCCTACCCAGCCAGGCCGAGTGCCCTTGGCTGTGTCCCACTGCCGCCTGTCCATCCCAAAAATAACCTGGGCACTGCCTCTGTCGGGGGGGGACAGGGCTGTGGGGCCTCTCTTCCCTCCTGGGGAACCCCAAAACCAGCAGGGTGTCCCTCCAGATCCTGAGATCCAGCATGGAGAGCACTGTAGGGCACCGGATCCTGCTGGCACTGCTGCTGTGGATCCCATTCCTGGTGGGAACAGCAGGAGACGGAGCCAAGGACAGCCAGGAGAGATTTCAGGGCCATGCCAGCGCTGCCACCGGAGATGACCTGCTGTCTCGACTGGGACATGCCAGCTGGAACACCCTGGAGAGCTGGGTGGGACCTCAGCCCCTGCGCATGGTGGCAGAGGTGGGGTCCTGCCCTCCCCAACCTGTCCCCTTGTCCCATGGCTGATGACAACAGGGGGTCCGACCCCCACAGACCTTCCCCAGGGTCCCTCATGGAGGGACACAGGGAGCTGTCCCCTTGTCCCGTGGCTGGTGACACTGAGGGTGTCCTGCCCTCCCAAACCTGCCCTGGAGTACCTCATGGAGGGACATGGAAGGCTCTGTCCCATTTCCCTGTGGCTGGTGACAGTGGGAGGGGTCATGTCCCCCCAAACCTTCCACAGACCCCCTCATGGAGGGACACAGGGGGCTGTGTTGTTCCCTTGTGCTGGTAACAGTGAGGTTCTCAGATTTTCCTGGAGCCCCTCATGGAAGGACATGGAGGGCTGTGTCCCTTTTCCCTGTGGCTGGTGACAATGGGGGTGTCACAGACTCCTTCAAAGCCCTTCATGGAGGGACATTGGGGTTGTGTCCCTGTGTCCCATGGCTGGTGACAATGACAGGGTCCTAATCCTTAAATCTTCCCTGGAGCCCTGGAGGAAAATGGAGGGCTGTGTCCCCTTTCTCTGTGGCTGGTGACAACAGGGGACTCCCAACCCCTCATGGAGGGACATAATGGGTCTGTGTCCCCTTTTCCCACTCCTCTGTCCCCACTTTTCCCCCCAGAGCCTCTCCACCACCCTCTGGATCGTTTCCTCTGGGATCTCTGCCGCCCTGACCACACTCTGCGGCATCCTGGGAGACCTTCTGGCTGTTTCTAGTATCAATGGTGAGTGGGAACCATCCCCGAGGTGCCTCTGGCCACCACCCCCAAAGCCACCACCCCCGGCTGACCCTTGTGTCCCCTCCCCAGGCCACCGACTGCTCCGTGGGGCAGCGCTGAGCCCCGGGGATGTGCAGCAGATGCTGCTCTGGGCTCT